TTGTTTCTAAGCAATATGTACATATAATCAGTCAATATATCTGAAAAGGACCACGAAACCTGAGAATATGAATGGAGACGCTGGTACAGAGTAACCTGGTAAATTCAGAATCAAGGGAAATGTTCTGAGATAACATGTGGATTGTCAATCTCTGTTGACTCGTTTTATGATAAAAAAAGTTTTTTTTAAAGTCATGTTATTCTCCTGGATTTCATCTATTTGGAGGAAGATGGGGTTTTTGAATTCTTGTGCCTAACAAGCCAGCTAAATGTGGCATAAAGTAGAAGATGTTAGCTGATGCTAAGACTCATTATATGCTAAATGCAGAAATATATGCTGGTGCTGAAGTAAAGACAGCTATTTCCACCAAACCCACCTTATCATATCCTACAAGAGTTCTTCTTAAGCTTGTGAAATGTACTGAAGGAGACAACTGGTGCAGCTCAGTGGAACTTTTTTTTTTTTTTTTTTGGCAGTACCAGGGATCGAACTCAGGACCTTGCGCTTGCAAGGCAGGCACAGTGCCACTGAGGTAAATCTCTGGCTGAAAACTTCCTGATAAACTTAAAAACTTGACTGCACTTTGAAAAAAAAAAGAGGGCTATATCACTTCAATTTTTACCAGAAAACAAACTGTTCAGTCATCAGTATTTGGATTTTCTGCTATCAGCACATTTGTTTCATATGTACCCCCCAAAAAAGTAAAAATGTCATATTAATATCAAGTATCCACCACAGCGATTCTGTTGACAGAGAAACCAAAAAGCCTAAAATTACTCACTTTTATAATGGCTAAATTTGGAGTTGACGCTTTAGATAGAAAATGTGCATTTTATTTGATGTCCAGGAGATCCAACCATTAGCCAATGGCAGTTTTTTCTGCCATTTTTATATGTTGGGGGTGTTAACTCCCCTGTATTGTACCAATTAGCATGATGAGGAGAAATAATAAAATGTTTTGATTTTATTAAAACCCTTAGGGATGCGATTAATTGAGGAAAATCTGTGTTCCAGAATGACTACTAGAAAAGTGCCCATAAAAGTAAGAAAACTTATAGCAGAAATCCTGGGAAGGGAGATTCCTGTTATAGAAGAGCCCATACAACCTGCTGACAAAAGCAAACGAAAAAGATGTGCCATGTGCCCCAGTGACAAGGACAGAAAAACTGCTAGCCAATGTGACGCTTATAAAATGCCAATTTGTAATCAGTGCCATAAGAAACTGTCTTGGGCCAGGGATTTAGTTTAGTGGTGCTGCCAGCTGCCTCAAAAGCTCAGAGTCCCGAGTTCGATCCCTGGTACCAAAAAAAAAAAAAGGAAAGAAACTTTGTCTTAGGTGTTTTGAAATTTTTTTTTTTATGTTACAAATACTTATGTGGTGTGTTTACAAATATAAATTGATCATAAATATTTTTACTTTTATAAAAAATGAAATTCTTGAGTCCTGAAGACCCATGAGCAGCACATATGAAACTAAAATGAGGGGGAGGTGCCAGTGTAGCACAGCGCAGGGTCACTGTGGGGAGCCGCAGCAGCTCCGGGTGCGGGAGGCAGTGGACTCCATGGTGAAGAGTGTGGAGAGAGAGCATGTGGAAGAGGCAGGGCCTTGGGTTCCGGTGCAGTGCCAGCACCCGTGAGGACAACCAGGCGTCCATGCAGCAGGTCTACCAGTGCGTTGAGCGCTGTCGCACACCTCTAGCTCAAGCCCAGGCCTTGGTGGTCAAGGAGCTGGAAAACTTCCAGGGCCACCTGGCCCAGTGTGCGACACATTGCAATGACAAAGCCAGAGATTAGATGGATGCAGGGAGTAAGGAGCTTTGGTGAAACTGGAAACAGCTGGACAGTGGTGGGGCCAGGTGTGTGGATGACCACATGAACCTCCTTCCAGCTATGACCAAGAAGATGAAGGAGTCTCTTGTCCATTGGGAAATAAAAGTCTTTGCCAGTGGCCATCAGGGCTGAGGGCCGAGATCTATTTAAAAAGAAGAATGAGAATTTTAGTCTTTTAAGTAAAATTTATGAATGAAAAAAATAAGGATGACAACAAGTTTAAGATATTTCACTTTCCACTGGAGCCTGGTTCTTCTGTGTTTGGATGGTAGAAAGTGAAATGGGGGAGAAAAAAAACTGGCCCTAAAGTTTGGGTCAAAGATAGCCCAAGAGAGTATTTTAGATCCTAAATTGCATGTGGCAAGACCTTATCCTGGCAGTGGAGATCTCAGACCAACGGAGAGCCCTCCAAGTTGTCAAGATACGGATATGCATTTCTTTTTTTTTGGTACCAGGGATCAAACACAGGACCTAGAGCTTTTGAGGCAGGCGTGGTGTCACTGAGCTAAATCCCTGGCCCCTTTGTTGTCTTTTTACCAGCTCATTACTTGAAATGATAATATAGTCTGTCTATTTGCTGTGTCAAGGCTGTGATATATTTTTCTAGTGGTTTGGTCTCAAAATAAAAAAGATTCACTGTCTCTCCCCACCCCCACCCTAAAAGAAACTAAAGTGATTCAGTGGTAGTTGGGGATTAAAACCTTTCAGGGCTATGTGTGTCCCAGAGGCCCAGGCCTCTTGGAGCGGGGTGGAAAATAGGCCAAAAAATACCATTTGATTGGTCAGTCTGGAGAACAGCTGTCCAGAAGCAGCCTGAGTGATAACAATTGACAACCTGCACTGAGCAGTAGATCCACATGTTGTCACACTCACTCCTCTCTAGACTGAGCCATCTCTAACATTCTGATGCTCTGAATTCTCCCCCAGGCTATGTTAAACGGCCGAATGCCCTAGACTAGCAGGAAGGCATTTTCTAACCTGAGAGCCTCTGTCTTAAAACTGCTTCAGAAGATGACAGGATAATGTCCCTCAGACACTGAGCATATTCATTGAAATGCCCAGAGAGCACACAAGTGGAAAACAAAATCTTTTCTATTGTCTATTCCAAAATCCCAGATATCTTTCCTATTTCAAGTCCCTGGATGTTGACATTATAAATCAGGTCACCACTCCATCTGCTACGACTGTCCCAAGGCCCTCATCAAGGGTGGGGTGACTTTCCCCACAGAGACAAATTTGCTTGGAGCTCAGTGCTTTGGATTTACCAAATATCAAGGTCGGACATGGTGTTACATCCCTGTTATTCCAGCACTCCAGAGCCTGAGGCAGGAAGATTCCTGCAAGTTCAAGCCAGAACTACACAGGGAGACCTTGTCTCAATCAATCATGGTTCCTCTTTGCTCCAATTTCCAATGACAGTGGTCCCAAGGAAGCCCTTTCTATGGAACACACGGAGAGCTCGGGTAGTGCTGAGACTCCTCCTCAACCTGGCACTTTGTGATACAGGGATGATATAGGAGATGAAATAGGACCTCCAACCCATATAAGGGAACTGTTATAATTTCCAACCTGTTAGTTGTCTGATATGCCGAGTTTGTGTTCTCTAAAATCGAAGAATAAATTCTGGGAACATCTGAAGTTAAGAGTAGGAAATAGTTATTCATTCATTTATTTATTTATTTATTAAGGAATATTTGTTGAGAGGATAGCTCCTGACAGCCAGGAGGGGTTCTGAATGGGTAGCCGAGGACTCCACTTTACAGGGAAGTTTTATAGAGCAAAACCACATAAGTACAATGTGGGTTAAAGCTATGATCAACCAATAAGGTTAGTTGCTTAGGTATAGTAAGTATAGTCGCTTAGGTAATAGTGATCCAGTGGGGAAGTAAGTCACATAACAAATGTTCATGGAAAGAACAAAGACTTTTTTCTGGGAAACGATGGGTCCAGAGGTCTTGGCTATCCATCAGGGTGACTGATGTCTATCTAGACTTTATTAAGGCAGGTGTTACTGCAGGTGTTACTGCTTATCTTGTCCTTTGGGGAAGTATGCAGGCTTGGTCATTTCGTCTTGAGGTTTGGTCTCCAACAGATGCATCTCCCGCCACAGTTGTAATGTGTTTTCATCTTTTGTGCTGACTCTGTCGACAGCCCAACACTATCTGATTGCCTAGAATATTTCTCCCTAATGTAGCTGTTTATAATATTGGGACTGAGAGGGCAAAGGAATGGAAGTGGCAAAGGCAGGAAATAGAGGGCCCCTCTCTGGAGAAGTGGAATTTTCGGGCTGTCCCCTAAGCTCCATACATGGGTTGTGTCGGGAGCAATGCTACATAATTTTAGGGGAAAATCATTTGATTAGGCCTAGTTCTCCTGCCTACAGGCCAGCTATGGCATTTTGAGACATAATTCCATTTTGGCCTCGGGTCACAACTGAGACCTCAATGATCTGGTGATGCTGTGATGCCCCAGGACAAGATTACACCAGCTGAAGACATCCTGGAAGGAACAAAATCTTCATCTACTCAGTTCCTCATTGTTCTTGGATTTCTGCCACCCCCTGGATGTACTGAATTCTCTGCAAGTCATTTGTTACATCTGTTTCTCCTGATGTACTGAATAAAAGGTGCGGTAAGCTGGGGGCTTCCATCTTTGCTGCCCAGAGCAGCAGTGATCAGACCCAAAGCTCAGCTTCTCCAACTCTAATTTTTTCTACCTTTCCTATATAATAAGGTATGTGCTGCTGTGGCTCGCCGGAGACTAGGACTCACTTCAGAGGTTCTAGTAATGTCCCCTTTCCCTGTTCCCTACAGTGCTGCAGTGTATGGCAGGTCCAGAGTCACAGTTCTGAGGCCCAAGAAGACAAACTGCCAATGTCTCTTCTTTCCTGCCTCTACTCCTGGCTATCAAAACTCCAGCCTGCTCAGGTGGAAGCAGCCAGAAGCATTGGTAGAGTGTTCTACTAACATTCCTGTGGATCTGTTACTGCTAGTTCGAGCAGTTGTGTTTGTGTCTTTCATTGTTCTGTTTGTTTTTTTGAAACAGGGCCTCGCTGTGTAGCCCAGGCTGGTCTCTAAAACTCATGGTGATCCACCTGCCTCAGCCTCCCAAGTGTTGGGATTATAGGTGTGCACCACCACACACAAATGCCTGGTGTTTGTGTCTTTCAGGTGGAGGCTCCATGGTGAAGGCCCGAGTGCTGACCTGTGTGGAGGGGATGAATCTGCACCTGTTAGAACAAGCCATCCAGAAGCAGAGGTTGTACCAGCAAGAACGGGGGAACAGCAGCACCAAGCATACCCTCACCTGCTCCTTAGACCCCCAGAGCTGCTGACCTGCTGCAGTGGCCACTTCCCTGAGTGACAGCCATTTATCTGGAATCAGAGAGTAGAGGGGCGGATGGTTAATATAACCCCTTCCCCTAATTTGGGACAGTGCCAAAAATGACAGCCCCGAGAACTAGTGTCACCCCCCCACACAGGAGGCTACAGGCACTGAGCTCCAGACCCCTGGGGCTGTGCTTCGGGGGGCGGGGGGTCACAGAGAGTTCCAGAAGGTCCTGGTGAATAAAGGTCTGTGGCTGACTCCTCCTTGTGTCCACGTGGTGCAGTGCCACCAGTGCCCAGGAGGGGGAGCTGTGGGGCAGGCGGCCCGCCTGGCAGAGAGGCTGCGTCCTGCCCAGTGTTTCTGGTGAATCCTGTGCTGGGAGTCTGAGGGGAGGGTGCTGGGTACCCAGGGGCTTGGTGAGGGGCCCAGGACTCAGGGTGGCCCCCTTGCCAAGGTTCTGCCCTCAGAGGAGGCTGAGCATTGCTAAACTAGCCAAGCCTAGGTCCTGGGCCTTGACCATGTGTCTGTGGTAGGACTGTGCCGTTAGAAGCCCTTCCTGATCCCTGACCTCTGCTCTGTGCTGTCCCCCACTCCCGGGCAGCCCTTCTGGGGAGTCTTGTGCCCCCAGAGCCTGAACTTGGCTGGGCTGAGGCGGAAAGTTAGCAGAAGAAGTTTGGGCTCTCCTGCACTCCGTAGCTGAGGACTGAGCAAGAGGCCTAGGGGCGGGCCGGCCTGGGCGAGGGGCAGCCCTGGCCTTGAGCCAGGTTCCCTAGCAAGATGGGGTGCAGGCAGGTGGGCAGGGAGCCGGGCAGCCTGGGCCAGGGCTGGGCAGAGTGTTATATGGAGGCTAGAACTGGGGAGCAGGGATGCTGCGTGTGGGGCACGAATGCCCGGGCCCCATCTGTTCCCCCCCGGGCAGCTCTGCGGACATGGATGTGTTCCAGAAAGTAGAGAAGATCGGAAAGGGCACCTATAGGGTGGTGTATAAGGCCAAGAACAAGGACACCGGGCAGCTTGTGGCCCTCAAGAAGATCAGGCTGGATTTGTGAGTGCTAGGACTGTAGATGCCCCTTCAATCCCAGGGTGACTCACAGCCTGAAACTTCCCATTCATTCCCTGAGTTCACAGGTGGTGCCTAGGCACTGGGATGGCCCCAGAGGGGCAGCCTTTCCCTGTCCCCAAATCAACCCTCTGTCCCTTGAGCAGTCTTTGCACTGGGTCTTGCTCTGTGGAGCAAGTTGGGTGAGAATTACATGCGGAGGAGCACAGGTCCCCTTCTTGGGAGACAGGACATCGATATGGGACTGAGGAACACAGAAGTGGCTCCTGCCCATGCCTATGGCTGCACTGACCTTTCCTTCAGGGAGACTGAGGGGGTCCCTAGCACTGCCATCAGGGAGATCTCCTTGCTCAAAGAACTGAAGCACCCCAACATTGTCAGGTGAGCTGCAGAAAGGGGAGGGGAAGCCAGGACCAGATTATGTCCCGATTGGCATCTCCTTGCCAGGCTGCTGGATGTGGTGCATAGTGAGAAGAAGCTGTACCTGGTGTTTGAGTTTCTCAGTCAGGACCTGAAAAAGTACACGGACTCCACCCCAGCCTCGGAGCTCTCACTGCATTTAGTCAAGGTTCGAGGGAAGGATGGGAGGGCAGGGTGATGGGAGCCACCACTGCCAGCTGCCTCCCGCTCAGCTGGCTCCTTCTGCTCATTTCTGCAGAGCTATGTCTTCCAGCTGCTACAGGGAGTAAACTTCTGCCATTCTCATCGGGTCATCCACTGAGACCTGAAGCCCCAGAATCTGCTCATCATGAGTTTGGAGCCATCAAGCTGGCTGACTTTCAACTGGCTCGAGCCTTTGGGTTGCCCCTGCGCACCTACACCCACGAGGTGTGCTGTGGGACGAGGGGAGAGAAAGACAGCTGCAAGATGAGCCCTGTGCACTCTGCCACCCTGAATGATGCTGTTTCTTGTCCCCACAGGTGGTGACACTGTGGTATCGTGCCCCTGAGATCCTCTTGGGTACCAAGTTTTATTCAACTGCTGTGGATGTCTGGAGCATTGGTTGCATCTTCGCAGAGATGGTAGCCAGAGGGACAGGCGTGGCCCAGGGTGGCCATCAGCAGAGTCTTGCTGGGGTAGTGGTAGAGCTTGATAATGGTTCTGTTAGAGTTGGGGTGAAGGATATCTGGGACTGGGGAAGCCAGCCTTATTCCAGAAAAGGCAATGCTGCACACCCATCATCCCAGCAGTTGGAAGGCTGAGACAGGAGGATCACAAGTTTGAGCCCAACCTGGGCGACTTAGCAACATAGTCAAACCCTGTTTCAAAATAAAAATATACAGGGCTGGGGATTTAGCTCAGTGGTGCCGCTGCCTGTCTCACAAGTACAAGGTCCTGTGTTCGATCCCTGGTACCAAAAAAAAAAAAATAGAAAAGAAGCAAAATAAAAAAGGGATTGGGATGTAGCTCAGTGCAAAGGCCCTGGGTTCCTCAGTGTCAGAAAAAAAAAAATCTAGAATTCTTAGCACAGTCCTGAGAAAGATGCCTTATCATGAAGGTCCTTGTCTGGTTCTGGCCACTCATTCTGCATGCCAAGGTCTCTTCTTCCCTGTTCCAGGTGACTCGAAAAGCCCTGTTTCCAGGGGACTCTGAGATTGACCAGCTCTTTCATATCTTTCAAATCCTGGGGCCTCCCAGTGAAGACACCTGACCAGGAGTCACTCAGCTGCCTGACTATAAGGGCACCTTCCCCAAGTGGACTAGAAAAGGACTAGAGGAGATTGTGCCCAATCTGGAACCGGAAGGCAAAGACCTGCTCATGGTAGGTACAGGTGGGCAAGAAAGACCTCTTGGCTCCAGTGGCTGCTCCGCCTGGTGTCCCCTTTGTCAGCAGCCTCTTGTTTGGTTTGTTTGGTACTGGAGATCAAACTCTGGACCTTGCACTTTTGAGGCATGTGGCAGAATCGCTGAGCTAAATCCCCGGCTGTCCGCAGCCTCTTATGTAACCCTCAATCTTTCTGACTCATGCTATCTCCTGCCTGACCTTGTACACACTTGGATTGTCTGTGCTTATTGATCATTTAACCTAGAAACTTCTCGTGTGATAAGTCCAATGTTCATTTTCCCTTTGAAAAAACTCCACTGGTTAGCATTTTTTTGGTTTTTGTTTTTTTTTTTTCAGTACTGAAATCGAACCCAGGGCCTTTTCACTGAGCTACGTCCCCACCACTTCTTAAACATTTTAAAATTTGAGACAGAGTTTTGCTGAGTTGCCCAGGCTGCACTTGAACTTGTGATCCTCCTGCCTCAGGCTCCCAGAATGCTAGGATTACAGGTGTGTGCCACCATGCCTGGCTTGGTTAGCTTTTTTTTTTGGTATGGGGCTCGAACTCAGGACCTTGGACTTGCAAGGCAGGCACAGTGCCGCTGAGCTAAATCCCTGGCCCTGTTAGCTTTCTTTTTATGCCATGACATTTGCCCTTTCTACTGAGTTGCCATACATGGTTTTTGTTTGTTTGTTTTATGGTGGTGGTGGTGGGTTTCAAACCCAGGGCTTCAAAGAAGCAAGTGCTACACTGTGGACTGCATCGCACCTTCTGCCTTGTGTTCTTGTTTGGGTTTTTTTTTTTTCTTTTCTCTCCCTCCCTCCCTTTTTCCCTTCCTCTTCCTCCTCCTTTTCTTCCTCCTTTTTTTTTCCCTCTTGAGGCAGGGTCTCACTATGTACCTAGGCCAGCCTCAAAACGTGCTGTGCAACCCAGGCTGACCTTGAGCCCTCAATCCTCCTGCCTCAGGCTTTCCCCTGCTGGGATTAAGGTGTGTGCCACCATGCCTGGGTCCACGTTGTGTTTTTTATTACTTTCCCTGTGGACTTTATTGCCCCATCTCAGCTGAAGCTTTCCTTCCTGCTGCCTAGTGCCTTCCACTGTCTTCACTTGATCTTCAGACAGGGCTGCTCAGAACAGACTGTTTCCTGCTGCCTCTCCGCTCCCTCACCCTTCCTGTGACACTGTCTGACCCTTAGACTGGCCATGGCCAGTCTTCCTGGAAGGCCTCAGGCAGAGCCTTCCCTGCTTGTCTACGAAGCCTCAGAGCCCCATTTGTCTTTACGCTGCTATCAGGGCAGGGCCAGGGCAGGATTCCCATCTCCAGGCTGTGTGTCCAGCTCTCCAGAGACTGAGGAGACAGCCAAGGCTTCCAGCCGAGGCTCTCCACCCTGCATCCTGGCCACTCCCAGGCAGTGGGCCCTCCAGAGCCTGCCGGGGTTAGGGTTTTGAGGGCCTCTTTTCGTGTTAGCTACTCTTTCCTTCCCTCCCTGCTCTTTGGATTCCTGCTTACCTCAAGCATGCGCCCTGGACAGGCTTGGGGCCTGCTTACAGACATGAGAGGCAGACTGGGGCTGGAACTCTCATTTAAAAAAGGGGCGACTAGGCTTCGGCAGCCTGAAGGAGACATGGGTGACTCATAGGGCTGGACTAGAATGAACCCTCTGTCCCCAGATTCTGAGACTGTCATTGAGAGCTGCGGAGGAGTGGCTTCATGGAGGTCTGGGTTTGAGAGCAGCTCTTCTCTGGGGTGTAGGACCTCCCCACCCTGGCTGCTCCCAGACCCAGACTCTTTCCTCCTCCTCCTTCCTTCCCAGCAACTTCTGCAGTACGACCCCAGCCAGCAGATCTCATCCAAGGCTGCCCTGGCCCATCCATACTTCTATCTATAGAACCCTCCCCGGCCCCCTGCCGGTGTGTGCTGGAGTGTTTCTACCGCTGAGAATGTTTGAAACCCTCTCTCAGCTGCCGCCCTATTCAACTTCCAAAGAGAGAACAAATCTGGGAAGAAAGCAGAGCTCTAAGGAATTTTGCATTAGCCATCAGAGGACTGAATTTGAGTTGGTCCTGCCAGCAGGTTATTGAGTTCCTGGGTTGTTTGTTGATTTTTTTTTTTTTTTAGGTACCGGGGATTGAACTCGGGTCCTTGTGCTTGAGCAGCAGGCGACAAAACCACTAAGCTAAATCCCCGCCCGTTTGTTGATTTTGATGGTGCGATTTCCACATGGCACAGGTGCTCCATGTAGGAGGGGGAATATTAGATGCCCAGTCCTCTGGCACTGGAACAAGAGGTGCCAAGTTGAGAGGGCTGCAGGTGAGGTGCAACCAGCAACACCTTCACCTGCGGAGGCAGGCCCTGGGAAGGGATGCCCCCTGCTGGTCTTTTTTGATGTTAAAATGTTTGCAAGAAGAGTTGAATTCTGTTCAGAATTCCACATTTAATGGGAAAGAGGGAACAGAGGAGACAGCTTCCTGACCCAGGAGAGTTCGGGGCACCTGCAGCTGTTCTAAGTACTTGTCCCTTTAACCAAGATGTATTTGTGTTGGTTTGCTTCTACTTGATGCATGGGAAATAAACACGACGGGGTCCTGAGTTTTCTGGCGTTGTTCTGTTCGTGGTTTCCTGGGGACACCTGGGCTGGCTGCTGGCAGGGCTTGGAGGTACTCCTGGCCCGAGCTGAGAGGGAAGGGAAACTGAGAAGGGCTGTGTGGGGAGGCTGGGCTCTTCCTCAGTTCTCTTTCCAAGGAACCCCAGCCCTCAAGAGCACCCCATCTCCAGGCTGTCGAGTTGGGTACCTCTACTCCCGCTGTGTGGGGAAGGACCCAAGCAATGCTGCCCCTCTGCTCAAAGTCCAGCTGCATGGACCATATGTTGCCAAATACGAAGGAGACGTGGTACTGGGAGACGTCATTTATTGGAAGCACAGGGTGGAAGCAGGGAAAATGAGCTGCTGGTCTGAGGCTGGACTGGGCACTGAGGTGAGAGGCGGGAGCCCAACACCACAGATGTTTAAGTACAGACGGCAGTGGGTTGACAGAGGAAAGACTCTGCCTGAAACAAGGCTGCTCTGGGGAGAGGGCTGCTCGGCCCCATCAGCGCACGCATGAGTGTGGCAGGGTGGGGGAGGCCACACGGAAGCAGCGGTACCCCTCCAGGGCGGCTGGAAGGAGCAGCAGGCCGCTCAAGGGGTCTTTATGGCAGCGCCCCATGGCCTCCTTGTAGCTCAGCCGCTCCTTGGAGATGGGGTCTGTCAGATCCTTCTCATAGCTGGACTCGTCCTGCAGGAGCTGGGCCAGCCCTTCGCTGATCATGCCCGAGAGCACGGCCTGGGGGATGGGGATGCGACCCGTCCTCTTGGGGTCAATGAGCCCCCCAGTCAGGTGCTGCACCTGCAGGTGCAGAAGGACGCTCTCCTGGGGCATCCAACCCTTCTGGACAGCCTCGCCCACCGACAGCCTCTTCTTGGTGACAGGGTCCTCAATGCCAGTGAAGGCCTTTTGGGCATTGAGCAGCCGCTGCATGGAGGTGTTCTCAATGAGGCCCCTTTCCTGGGCCTTGTGCACAGAATAGCGCTCGCGGCTGAGGAGGTCCACGATGCCCCCTGTGGCTGCCTGTGCCTCCAGCAGCTTCTGTCCCGTAATGGGGTCCAGCAGGTTCTTGGCCATGGCTGTTTTGATGCTGCACTTGTTGTCTGTGGTTTTGTCATAGACCCCAGCAATGGGGAAGCTGTCATCTGCAAGCCCGAAAGAGAAGCCTGGGGAGAAGAAACTGGTGCTCTGGGAGGCCGGGGACTTGGAGATGATGGAGCCGATGGAGAGAGAGGAGCAGGGCTTGGTCTCACCTGCTACAAGCAGGGCGAACTCGGAGATGGGGAGGCGGCCGTCCTTGTACAGATGGTACTCCTCCTTGGAGATTCGGTGGCCGCGCAGGGCGGCCTCGATGGAGTACTGCTTCCCGCTCTTGCGGTCCAAGAGCACCGAATCCTCCCCGCAGGGGCCCGAGGTGGTGACCTCCTCCCAGTCGCACTCCAGCTCCTGCAGCTGGAGGTACTGGCCTCGGTCGATGATGCCCCTCTTGTAGGCCTCATAAGGGGACATGTCGTTCCCGGTCTCAGGCTCCAAGATGCAGATCTTGGTGGAAAGGTTGGTCTCCCGGGTCTGGGTCTCCTGGCTGAGCTCCTCCCGGCTCACCTTGGCCTGCAGGTCCCGGAGGGTCTTCTCCTTCTGGTAGATCTGGTCCTTCTCTTGGAGGATGGAGGCCTCCAGCTGCGAGAGCACCTGGTCCCGCTGGGCCACCTTCTGCCGCTCACTCTCCGTCTTCTGGCTGAGCAGCTTTGCCTCCTCCTGCAGCTGCACCACCTTCTGCTGCTTCTGCCGCTCCAGCTCCTGCAGCTCCTGCTGCAGCTGCCCGCGCTCCTGGCCGGCCTGGTCCCGGGCCTTCTGCAGCTCGGCCTCCTCCTGGGACCAGGTCCTCTTCAGCGCCTCGGCCCTGTCAATCCGCTCCCGCAGGCTCCACACCTCCTTCTGCCGGGCCTGGAGGGCCTCTCGCTCCCTGTTGAGCATCTCCCATACCTGGGCCCGCTTGCTCTCCAGCACCTGGTCCTTCTCCACCCTGATCACTTCCTTGTAGATGGTCTTCTCCTGAGATTTGGTTTTCTGGAGGACGTCGATCTGGACCTGCAGGCTCTTGCACTCCCGGTGCAGCTCCATCACCCTCGTCTTCTCCTGCTCCAGGTCCCGCCTCAGGGCTTCCGTGGACCTCTCCAGATCCGGGTCCTTCTCCAGCTTGACCACTTCCTCCATGATGATCTTCTCCTGCACTGCAGGAGGCCGCTTCTCCAGCTCCTGGATCCTCAGGGTCAGCTGCCGCAGCTCCTTCTCGGTGGCCAGCTTCTTGCTGCGGTCCTCCTGGAAGCTGAGCAGGCCCTCCTTTTCCTCCACGCTGGCGCGCAGCTGCTGCACCTCGCGTTCCAGCTGCCGCCGCCGCCCCACCTCCTCATCCAGGCTGCGGCTCAGCCGGCCGTGCGCCTCACGCAGCTTCGGGTCCTTCTGGGTGACCACCACCTCCTGCACCACCACCTTCTCCTCGGGCTTCCTCCTCTCCAGCAGCAAGTACTTGTTCTGCAGCTCGTAAAGCACGGCCTCAGCCGCCCGCCTCTTTCGGGCTGCTTCCCGCACCTCCTGGCGGAGCCGCTCGGCCTCCTTCTCCAGCACTGGGTCCTTCTCGTGGCGCACCACCTCTTTGTTCACCATCTTGGTCTCCACCTTGGCCCGCTCCCGCTTCCACTCATCCCGCTCCCCCTGCAGCCGGATGAGCTGCTCCTGGCAGCGCCCGCTGCTGTTCACCAGCTCGTTGAGCTGAGCCTTGAGGCGGTCGATCTCTCGCAGCACCTCCGGGTTCTTCTCGTGTCTCACCACCTCCTGGGTCACTTCCTTGTACTCCACTGTGGGCTTCTGGGCCCGCAGGAGCTCCAGGTCAGGCAGCAGTCTCTCCACCTCCTTCTCCACGCTGCTCCGCTTGCTGGACGTCTCCTGCAGCTTGGCCTGGAGCCGGGCGATCTCCCGCTCCGTCTCCGGGTCCACCTGGAAGATCTCGTTGACTCGCTCCTGGAGCTCCACCTTGGGCTTCTGCTTCTCCACCACGCTGTACTTGCCCTGCAGCTCCCTCAGTTCCCTGGCCAGCATTGCATTCTTGTTCTTCTCTTCCTCAAGGAGACTTTTGAGCCTGGAGGACTCTTTGAGAAGGCCTGGGTCCTGCTCTACCTTCTTCACCTCCTTCACGATGACCTTGGGCTCCACCGAGCTGATCACCCGCTCCAGGTCTTTGATGCGAACCTGTAGCTTGGCCACGGCCTCCTCTGCCCCCTTTCTCCTTGCAGCATCCTCCTTGAGCTGCAGCCTCAGGGCCTGGGCCGCCTTGACCATCTCCAGGTCCTTCTCCACCTTGACCACTTCTTTGACCATGACCTTCTCCTTCACATTCACTTCCTTCTGCTCAAGGGCCAGCAGCTCCTTCTTCAGATCCTCCACCTGGGCCGAGATGACAGTGTTCTCCCCCCGCAGCTGCTGGATCTTGCCACTCAGCTGGGCTGCCTGGCTGTCCAGGCCTGGGTCCCTCTCGATCTGGGTGACCTCCTTGGTCAGCAGGTGGGGCTGCATGGTCTTCCTCTTGTTCTCCAGCTGGACGACCTTCTGGGCTGCTGCCTCTAGGCTGGCCTGCAGCCAGGCCCTCCTCTGGCCCTCCTCCCCCAACTGGGAAGTCACCCTGGACACACTGCCCTCCAGCTGGGGGTCCCGGTAGAACTCCACCACCTCCTTCTCCTCCAGCCTCTCCACGGGCCGCTGGGTCCTCAGCTGTAGCAGCTGGTGCCTCTGCTCCTCCAGCTGGCACTGCACCTGGGCCACCCGCTTCCTCTCCTCCTCCAGCTGGGACTTTAAGGATTCTGACTCCCTTCCAGCTTGGGCTGAGCCCTCAGATCCCTGCTTTGCAACATGGGTCACCTGGATGTCCTCGATGAGCTCCTTCTGCAAAGTGAAAAGAAGAAGGGAAAGTAGTGGGGTGAAGGGAGGAAAGATGGCCTCATTTTTCTTTTCTTTCTGTGTACTGGGGAGTGAACCCAAGGCCTTCACATTGAGCTCTATCTTCAATCCTTTAATTTTTTTTCCCTGGTAGCAGAGATCAAACTCAGGACCTTGCACTTGCCAGGTAGGTGTGGTCCCACTGAACTACATCCTTGGCCCTTTTATTTAAGTTTTTATCGTTTATTTTTTTAATTTAGGTTTTTAGAGACAGAGTCTCTCTATGTACCCCAGACTGGCCTCGAACTCATGGTGATCCTCCTGTCTCAGCCAGGTGCTGGGATTACAGGTGTGCGCCACCACACCAAGGTAGGAGCCCCGGTTTTCTATGACATCCCTGAGATCACAGGCCACTCCCTGCTTCCCAAGACTTCCTAGAAGGTCTTGGGAGGTGGAGCTGAAGACCTAAGATCCCTGACTGCAGGATTTCAAGGAAACCCAAGCCATGATGCTGGGATGCAGGACAGGTTCAGGCCAAGTTTACACTAGACCATGCATACAGGACCAGCTCTACTTTGCAAACCCTTCCCTCTCCCATTAGGCTCCCAGAAGTGGGGCCACCCTTCTCTAGGAGATACTGGTGTATGGCAGAGGGAGCAGAAAAGCTGGGAAATCACCAAGAAGCATGGAGAGCACCTGGCTTCTGCTCTACCAGGCTGGGGACCAAAGACTATAGGGGTCTGCTCCGCTGTCTGGGTTAGGGGGTCCTGTCCCTACTGGAGGGCTGCCCAGTGGCTAAGCTGTGAGCTCATGGGAAGACATCTCCAGGGCCTGACTGGGGTAGGTACTGCTTGTAAGAGCTGCTGGGGAGAGGACTGTGGCCGAGTCTCCCCAGGGCCTGCAGGCTGCAGAGGGCGAGGAAGGGCAGACGGCCAGCCAGCTTGGCTACTGGGGGAACAGAGTGGGCATCATTTCTGTACCTTCTCCAGGATCTTTCTGGCAAATTCCAGCTGGTGCAGCTGCTGCTGCTGCGCAGCTGAGACCTCAGTATAGGTCTTGATGAGGTTCTTCTCCTGG